CACGCGCAGCCCAGGACCCCTGGGCACACCCAGCTCACCTCCTATCTACAGGAGAGGAGCAAGGAGTAAGGTGCTACCCCTAAATCTCTCTGATACTTGGGACTCTGGGCCACGGGCAATTTTGAGGCTGTTTTCCAGATCAGCAGTTGGGCCAACCCTGAAACTATTTCCCCAGCTGACCTGAAGTGGGGAGGACTTACTTATGGGTTCCTCTGGATGGAAAGCCAGCTCGTTCACAGACCCGGCGTGGCCTGGCAGCTTGTACAAAATCCTCCTGGATGTGGTGTCCCACACGTAGACAAACCTACAAAAGAGTCATTATGAGCACTGGCATTTGAGAAGGGAAAGCAGCTGCCCCCCACCCCAACGGCTTCTTCCCGCAGCAGCTCCCCACCCGGCTGAAACAGATGCAGCTCTTAGTGAGGATCAACAAGGAGCTTCTCAGCAGCAAAACGCTGCGCTGCCAAATCCAGAAGGGCAGAGGCATGAGCAGGTAGGAGCTAACACGTCAGTTTGGTGCCAAAAGCCTCGCCGCTGTCACAGCACAGCAGCCCCGTTTCACCCCTCCTGGCACGGAGATGGATTTGAAAGGTGAGGCCGTGGAGACCCTCAGTACAGCGGCACCCCAGTGGGCTAAAGGAGCAAACCAGTGTTGGGAGTGGGGAGGAGGGTTCTCCCACTCGCAAATACCTGCCTGCAAGCCCGGCGGTCACCCTTGGACTGGGCTGGCTGGCAAGCAGTGAGGAGGAGCCCAAGTGCTCCCCCAGCCCCTGACAGTGTAACTCCCCCCAGCCAACATTGTACACGGATTTCTTCCTGCTGTGCCGCTAAAGTCATGATCCACTTCCCAGCATTTATCAGGGGGCCGATGGGATTGCGTCAAGCCCTTTGAGGAAGCTCCTGCAGGCCTTGCTGTGGGCTCCCACCATGGGCTGGGTCCTGCCTGAGCACCGAATCTTGGCTGAAGGGGCGTGCAGAAGCCGCCAGCATCCTTCAGGCAGGAGGTCAGAAAGAGACTGGTGGCACCAGGCACAGAGCAGCTTTCAGATTACTCTTATAAACGGCCTCAGAGTGGGGGAAACGGTGCCTTGCTGTAAGTCACACTGTACCCGAGGTCACTGCTTGTCGCCCGTGGGTGCCCGCTCCTGCCTGCACGGTGGGGTGGCCGCACACAGGCTCCACCAGGAAGCAGAGTGATGCTTTGGCTCTGGTTATGGCGACCACCCGGTGGGGTGAGTGAGGTTTTTTTAATCCATCAAAACAAGAAGAGCCCTGAGCAGCATCCTACAACCCGGGCAAGGCGCTGCTGCACTGCACCGGCACAGGAATGCTGCACCCCTCCTTCCCAAACACAACAGCCTCGCCACTTGAAATGGCATTTGTTACAAGGTTCACAGCTCGGAAAAAAAAAAATTGGTGGCTCAGGAAAGCTGCCAGTTCTGGATTACACTCGCCCTGCCTTCTTGTTTTCTCTCTAGGGAAGCGACTGGCAGCTCAAACGCAATCTGTCAGGGCAGGAAAGGGAAGTGGCAGGGCAGCAAGGGGCCGGGTCTGGCAGGAAGGGCAGCTCTGGGGCCCGCCCGCCCCAGAGGCTTCACTGCAGTTATTTACGGGGCGCTGCAGAGGGTGAGGGCAGGGGGCACAGCCTGTAAAACACGTGTAGAAGCGATCTCCTGCGTTACGATCCTCCCAAGGAAGGTCGCTGCAAACGCCACTGCGCATCCCCATGTCGTGCTGCACAAATTCATAGAATCATGGAATCACCTGGTCAGAAGAGACCCTCGAGATCACCGAGTCCAACCGTTCACCCTGCACTGTCAGGGTCCCTAAATCATGCTCCTCAACACCAAATCCACACGGTTTTTAAACACCTCCAGGGACGGGGACTCTACCACCTCCCTGGGCAGCCTGTTCCAACACTTCACAACCCTCTCCGTAAAGAAATTCTTCCTGATATCTGACCTAAATTCCCCCTGGTGTAACTTGAGGCCACTCCCTCTTGTCCTGTCATTCCTAACGTGGGAGAAGAGAGGGACCCCCATCTCGCTACAACTTCCTTTCAGCTAATTGTAGAGAGTGATAAAGTCCCCCCTGAGCCTCCTCTTCTCCAGACTGACCAGTCCCAGCTCCCTCAGCCACTCCTCATAGGACAAGTTCTCTAAACCCTTCACTAGTTTCGTTGTTCTTATTCAAATTCAATTTCGTTGCTCTTATTCTCAATTCCAAACGTGCTGGGCACCAACAGCCCTTCCATCAGCCCCACACGCAGCCCAAGCTCTGAACACCACGGCCAGACTCATGCAGTGCTACCAACAACAGGCTCCTCAGCTGCACTTGCTCCTTTCCATTTTTCAGGGCTTCGCAGACCGGATGAATAACAAGATTTGTTTTTACAACCAGCCTGCCTGTTAGTTGAATCAGAAGTGAACTTCTTTTCCCTCCAAAAAAGCACGGAATCATTTATAACATCCACTGGCGAGATAGAGAGGACACTGGATACCAATCCAGGGCAGACCTGCCTTGTTAGGAGCGTTCCTTTTCAGGCTGCTGCTATTCTTTGACTTACTTTCACTGAACACATAAAAGGGAAAAATTCAAGCCTGCAACTGAAGTCATGAATGTTACTTAAAGCAGTGTTTCTTCAAGCACAACTATTTTATCTAGCAGGCAAGAATTGTACTGAATGCTTTCTCAAAGCACTCTGCTGCTGTGGTTTTAATTTGGTTATTGCAAAGCAGGCAAGTACTTGGACTATTTGATTTTACTGTAACCCTTCTGAAGGGCTCAACGGCAAAAGAAATATTCAGGGAATTGTCCCTCCGACATACACGCACACATTCCCCATGATGCAGAAGGACAGAGTAATCATTGGGGAACCGTTTTGTACTCAAAAAAATTAAATGTTTGTTTAATCTTGCTTTGCTTTCCCAGCAGATACCCCTTCTCAAAAAAACCCCAAACATATTTAAAAGCTCAGAGATAGCAGAAAGATTTGAGCAGCTTTGCCTAACCTGCCCTGGCACCTGGCTGCTGCTCTTCCCCATGAGTATCCCAGCAAAGATGCTGTCAGACCAGAGCTTCCTCAGCACCTGCAGAACTAACCTAATGGCTCAAGACTCCCAACCCCCCTTTGGAGCAGCCCCAGCCACACACAGGCGTTCCTCCACCACGTGCAACCACCATTACTGCCCAGCAGGACTGGAGAGGAGAGTCACATCCCAGGCACTTGCTGTGACAGCTGGCCCTGCTATATCTGGGCAGTAAGAGCTAGCGTTCTCTCTATCCCCTATCAGAAACTCATTAATCTGCTGATTAGCACTGCTCCATGCCCTGGACTCTGGCCTGCAGCAATTCCTGTCTCCATGTCACTGAGAGTGTGTCTGGATTTGCTCCAGTGGAGGTTGGTATCCTTCACGGTGACCTTCAGTGTCTGGCGTGGACTCTCTGCTGGCTTCCTCCCTCTACCCATTTTACTCCTCAGTGGCCTTAGTTTATAGAATATCTCATTTAAAAGTCCAAATGGTGCTAATTCAGTCAGATTTTTATTTCTTCTTACTCATTAATTAAAGCAAGGATCAAGAATGATCCTTGAAACACCACTGGTGCCTCCTGGAAGCCACCACACAGCAATTTAACTGGTATTTGTGGTCCTCATCAGCATAACCCCTCACTACACATACCTCCCCAGGCTCCCTGCTTCTCAAAGACTCTCATAAGCACCTGCTGATATGACTGCACGGACTTAGTCCACCAACAACCATGGCCCTGTCATCTGCTGGTCCTAGTGTTGGATCCTGTGGTTGAACACCAGCACTGACGCAGACCTCTAGTCAGATTTGGCAATACTACTACTCTTTTACAACTACACGGTGCTTCTCCACTGACACAAACGCAATATAAAGACATGGCCATTGTAGTCAGGGCAGACAGTGCTCACAGAAGGGGGCTGTTCAGGTCTTCACACCTCCACGCACAACTTAGTCTTCAGATCCATTTCAGACACGATCCAGCTTGTTCCAGGAGGACTCGCAAAACTGTCTGGGAGCGACAGTAACAGGGAAAGGCAGTGGGAACTCACCTGTCAGCCGATCCTCCTGCGATTTTACTCCCATCCGGGGACCAAGAGCACCTCAGAAGATTCTAAAAAAAAAAAAAAACAAACTTGCACAGATCTACTTCTGAAGAAAGATTTAGCTTTCCCCTTCTACTTGAATTAAAATCACCATGAGACTTTAAATATCATGAGCACCACTTTAATGGTCTCCCTTTAGAAGACGAGATGGTAATTACAGATTTTATTTTATTGCTGGAAACATCCAGTGCCTTGTTATTTTACACAAAGTAGAGAGTAAATGTAGAAAATGCTTAATTTACAGCTAATTATAGCTGAACCGAGCAAAGAATCTTGTTACTGCGGCTTTAATTGGAATCCCACTTTGTGCATTCATCTTTCTTTGAGTTCTTATTACAGGCTTTCTGGTTTAAACTTGAATTTAAAAAACAATTTACAGAGAAGTTAATAGCAGCAGCATTTTACAAGCAATCACGTTTCGGTCTGCAGTACACCCACCTTTTCAAAATTATGCACATTCCCCTGGAAGATCTTCACACATCTCTCTTTAGGGGCAAATGGCCGCACGTCCCAGATGCGAACTGCAACAGAGAACTGGCAGTAAGGAGCTGAAGAGACAGGTTGCCCAGAGAAGTTGTGGCTGCCCCATCCCTGGAAGTGTTCAAGGCCAGGTTGGATGGGGCTTTGGGCGACCTGGTGTAGTGGAAGGTGTCCCTGCCCATGGCAGGGGGATTGGGACTGAATGAAGGTCCCTTCCAACCCAAACCATTCCATGATTCTATGATTCTAAGATGGCAGAGGCTCTTGGGCAAGGTCAGCTTCTGGAAACCTTCCTTCTCCTCAGACATGCTGCAAATAAGCAAGGACCTGGTCACACTCCTTGTTCTCTTCATGCCTAAGTTTCCTCAGATGGAAAAGGAAAGCAGCTTTCCCTTGCGGAAAGCTTTGACGTGAAAGGTCAAACGCAGAAATTTGTAATTACACCAAGACCGCTGCCAACAGGAGGGGAAAAACCCAAAACAACTCTTACACAACCGAGCCACCATTTCGTCACACAAGCATTTGCTTTACTCTAACACACTCCATGATCACGCTTCTCATCAGACCAGCTTCGCTGAGCACCCCCGCGCAGGAGACAGGCAGTTTGGGAGCTGGGCTGTCATTCCCTGCCGCAGGGACACAGCCAGAGCACCCTGGCGAGAGCCAGACTGTCTGTTCAACCAACGTGTGCCACAGCCCGTGCCCTCGCTGCCCCTCGGGAGATGTGACAAACCCTTCTGATGCAGCTGCTCCCTCCCTGCAAAGGACGCGACTGTCACTGGTGTAACAACGAGAATTCCAGCTTTATCTCTGGAGCCAAACCCCCGTCAGCCCATCCCCACATCTGGCTCTTGGGTTTCTGTTTCTTGTGTGCCGTGAGGCCACGCAAAGCTGGCGCTAAGAGAGCAGTGCCCACAGCCATGCCCTCCCATCAGGCAGGACGTACCTGTGTTGTCCATGGCGTTGGAGAGCAGGTAGGAGCCCTCGGAACTCAGGCTGAGGCCTGTCACCGAGTCTGCGTGTCCCCTCATGGTGTAAGTGAGCTTGTTCTGGCGAAGGTCCCACACCTGTCAGACACAACATTGTGGGTTAAGGAAAAAGACAGCCAAGACTGTTGGAACTGCTGCTTCCAAAGTGTTTCCCAGAGGTACTGATCAGTCAGCTGATGACATCGGCTTCCATTTCAGCTGATGTGGTCTGAATGGCTAAAATAAGATGTTAGAATTTTATGTGTGTTGTAGGAATCTGCCCCTTAGAAGACTTAGAATCATAGAATCACAGACTGGTTTGGGTTGGAAGGGAACTCAAAGATCATCCAGTTCCAACCCCCCTGCTATGGGCAGGGACACCCTCCACTACGCCAGGTTGCTCAAAGCCTCATCCAACCTGGCCTTGAACACTTCCAGGGATGGGGCAGCTACAGCTTCTCTGGGCAACCTGTTCCAGTGCCTCACCACCCTCATGGTGAAGAATTTCTTCCTTAGATCTCATCGAAATCTCCCCTCTTTCAGTTTAAAGCCATTGCCCCTTGTCCTGTCACTCCACGCCCTTGTGAAAAGTCTCTCTCCAGCTTTCCTGTAGGTCCCCTTCAAGTACTGGAAGGCTGCTACTTCTTACCCAACATGTTCATCCACGAAGGAGTCAAACATCAGCAGCCCCATGCATGCAGGAATCCCTCTCTATCTGGCTATAGCTCCCAAATTCCACCAACTAATAGCACAGAGCATCAATCGTCCGATCCCCAAAATTTCATGCTGCTCTTTTCCAAAGAGTTATTGCCTTTCACAGAACAGTGGGAACAGCGTTACCCACACCTAGGTAACGCTGGAGCCCGCGGCTAAAATGACAGTGGGACAGACTGAGCTGCAGAGGTGTCAGGAGAATCTGTTACCAGCTGAATGAAACATTGAGCTCCCTCTTAAAGAACTTTCCACATTAGCAGGTGACAAAGAAAGTCACAAACTAGAGCAGAGGGCAGAGAGCGCGGATGCGTCACCACATGTTCTTAGGTTTACCACATATAGAGCCCGTGGGACGGGCACAGGCTGCCAGAACAGCCAGCATGCCGTGTCGGCTCC